GTTCACCAAAAGGATTATGGGATACTAGATGTCAGCTGAATGGTTCTACAGGGTCACCAAAGCCTATGGTGCTCTTCGAATCCTTGTAAGTTACATGGCCTTGTGTGAACTGTTACTCTTAAGAACATTGATAGTAAAAAATAAAAAAACTTGATGCAATTACCTGAATTACTGTATGAGCCAGAGAGTGGAAGAGGTTTACACCTGCAGAATTTCCTTTTTTTTCTTCAGACCTAATTCTTGATGGTGCAAAGTATATGCAACACGCTAGGAGGTGCTCGTCGAGAGAAAATTCTTCTCCCTGAAAAATTTCTCAGTCAGAGCAAATCTTAGTTGTCATCGATCGTATGTATCATATTTGTCACGGAGGTTCTACTTAAGAGCACATTCACTAGCCAAATGTTTACAATAAAAATCGTTAAGAATTTTTATAAAAACAGCTAGTGTATTTGCGTGGTTGGGAATCCCTTTGCGATAGAGGGCCAGACTGCACTGCTTTGATCTTGAATTTGCAGACGGAACTTTAAATGTGCTTAAAATTCTATAAGATGATATGATGCATGTCTCGGCTGAGGCGAAACGATGTTCCATATCGCCCGCGCTGTTTATCCAAAATTTACTTTTTAAACTACACCTTAACCACCCCAAACCTTACATTATCTCTTAGGGATTTGTCGAGGAACGACCTACAGGACATACCCACAGACTTTCTGGTGAATCAAACTCATTTAGTGAACCTGTAAGTACTTGACGAAAGAAAACGAAAAGAAAAAAAAAGCAGAAAAAGAGCAATTTTCAGAAGAGTGTGGGGGAAGTAAAGGTTTACATTTGTTCCTTCAACTGCACCCTATGTTTTTTTTTCTAGAAAACTTGTTGCACCCTCGCAATCAATAGGATGCAAAAATTGTAGCAGAGCTAAACCAATATTCTTTTCTTGGTTACACGTGTTTTACCGCTCTTAAGGTCGTTATCACATGACTTAAAGTCTCTTTGGCTTCCTATAATTTTTATTTTTGTCCTTTACTTTTGCTTTGGTTCTACGACACTCATCTAAGAGCGCTGTAGCCGTATTCCGTTTCTCTCGAACGCGTCCACAGTTGATAAGAGTTGTGCATCTCAGTCCTCATTTCTTTACCTGAAGGATAAGGAAAAACGCTCATGTCTTTTTTAATTTGAACTATGAGTGTCTCGCCCAAAAAAATAGTAATGGCGAATAATTATAATGATGATAATGATAACAATATTATTTGTTTTGGTTTTAGGTCGTTAGCTTACAATCAGATATCCGTTATCAAAGATGGTGCTTTTGGAAGGTTATTCAATGTAACTTTTCTGTGAGTATATATATTGTCTCAATTTCAGGGCTTTTTTAATATGCTGATTGTAAATGATTGGATACCAATGTTTTTTCTTAAAATGAGATATAACAGAAAAGGCAATTGCTTGAATAAACTTGAACTATGAAAGGCAGAAAATTAAGCTTTTAAATTTTCCGTTGTTCAATGCCATATTGAAAAAATGTATTTCTTTTCACTGAACTAACCCTAGTGCAATCACCACAACTT